AGGGTAGAGATGGAGGGTCAGACCTTATTTCATGGTTTGAAGGACAATCGTTTGTGGGCAGGAGTCCTGTTCCTAAATCGGCTGTCCGAGGCCCAAAATTTCATATGGAAAAAGATTCTGCCCAGACTTAAGTTGCCAACACAGAAAGCTCTTGCTGCCAGTGCATTCTCCTGGTTGAAAAACAAACTGCACCACAAAGCAAAGGCTTTCTTTCCTGTCGATAAGGGCTGTTGTTTGCTGTTTTCAGACGTGCCTCCCAACTGCCAGCCTGACTCCCAAAATTGCATACGGACGATGATTCCTCCCATAACAAAGGTAAGAGAACAGAAAGTTCTTGCTGCTGATGGAGTGTTTAACCTGGTCCACCAACAGCACAATGAAGCCAAAGTTTCCAGGCTTTCGTTCCTGGCGATAAGGACTTTTGTTTCTTGTTTTCAGCCCTGCCTCACATCTACCAGCCCGACTCCCAAATTTGCATACAAACAAAGATTCCTCCCACAGCAAAGATGTCGGCACAGAAAGCTTTTGCACTCAATGGAGTGCCCAGCCTGGTCCACCAACTGCACCACAAAACCAAAGTTTCCAAACTTTCTTTCCTGCCGCATAGGCCTTTTGTTTCCTCTTTTGAACTATGCCTCCCAACTGCCAGTACGACTCTCAAAATAGCATATAAACAAAGGTTCCTCCCAGAACAAAGGTGCCAACTCAGAAAACTCTTCCTACCAATGCAGTCTCCAGGTTGACAAACAAACTGCACCACAAAGTCAAAGTTTGAAGGCTTTCTTTCCTGGGGATTAGGGTTTTATTTCCTGTTTTCAGTCCTGCCTCACATCTGCCAACGTGACACCCAAAATTGAATATAAACAGAGGTTTCGCCCAGAACAAAGATGCCAGCTCAGAAATCTCTTTCTGCCAATGCAGTCTCCAGGCTGACAAACAAACTGCACCAGAAACCCAAAGCTTTCAGGCTTTCTTTCCTGGTGATAAGGGCTTTTGTTTCCTGTTTTCAACCCTGTCTCCCAGTTGCCAGCCCAACTCCCAAAATTGCATACGGATGAAGATTCCTCCCAGACTAAAGTTGCCAGCACAGAAAGCTGCTCATGGAGTGCCCAGGCTGGCCCATCAAGTGCACCACACAGCCAAAACTTCCAGGTTTTCTTTCCTGGAGACTAGGCCTTTTGTTTGCTTTTTTCAGACCTGCCTCCCAACTGTCAGCCCGACTCCCAAAACTGCATACAAAGATTCCTCCCAGAACAAAGGTACCAGAACAGAGAGTTCTTGCTGCCAATGGAGTGCCCAGGCTGGTCCAGCAGCTGCATCACAAAGCCAAAACTTCCCAGCTTTCTTTTGTGGGGATAAGGGCTTTTGTTTTCTGTTTTCAGCCTTACCTCCCCACTTCCAACCCTACTCCCAAAATTGCATACGGACAAAGATTCCTCCCACACCAAAAATGCCAGCACAGAAAGCTCTTCCTGCAATGGAGTCTCCAGGTTGAAAAACCAAGTGCAACACAAAGCAAAAGCTTCCAGGCTTTCTTTCCTGGCAATAAGGGCTGTTGTTTGCTGTTTTCCATCCTGCCTCCAAACTGCCAACCCGACTCTCAAAATTGCATACGGACTAAGATTCCTCCTAGACTAATTTTGCCAGTACAGAAAGCTCTTGTTGCTCATGGAGTGCCCAGGCTGGCCCATCAACTGCACCACAAAGCAAAAGTTTCCAGGCTTTCTTTCCTGGGGATAAGGGTTGTTGTTTGCTGTTTTCAGTCCTGCCTTTCAACTGACATACTGACTTCCAAAATTGCATACAAACAAATATTCCTCTCACACCAAAGGTGCCAGCACAGAAAGCTCTTGCTCTCAATGGAGTGCCCAATCTCGCCTACCAACTGAACCACAAAGCCAAAGCTTGAAGGCTTTCTTTCCTGGTGTTACGGGCTGTTGCTTCCTGTTTTGAACCGTGTCTCCCACCTGCCATCCCAACTACCAAAATTGCATACAAACAAAGATTCCTCCCAGAACAAAGGTGCCAGAAGAGAGAACTCTTGCTGCCAATGGAGTGCCCAGGCTGTTCTAGCAGCTGCCCCACAAAACCAAAGCTTGAAGGCTTTCTTTCCTGGCGATAAGGGTTGTTTTTTCCTGTTTTCAGCCCTTCCTCCCAATTGCCAGCCCATCTCTGAAAATTGGATATGCATGAATATTCCTCTCAGATTTAAGTTGCCAGCATAGAATGCTCTTGCTACTGATGCTTGCTACTCATGCTTGCTCATAGAGTGCCCATCCTGCCCCTGCAGTTGCACCTCAAAACCAAAGTGTCCAGGCTTTCTTTCATGGCGTCTAGGCCTTTTGTTTGAGTTTTTCAACCCTGCCTCCCAACTGCCAGTCCTACTCCCAAAATTTCATATAAACAACAAGCAAAGATGCTAGCACAGAAAACTCTTGCTCTCAATAGAGTTCCCAGACTGACCCACCAGCTGCACCACAAAACCAAAGCTTGAAGGTTTTCTTTCCTGGCGTCTAGACCTTTTGTTTGCTTTTTTCAGACCTGCCTCCCAACTGCCAGCCCGACTCCCAAAACTGCATACAAAGATTCCTCCCAGAACAAAGGGACCAGAACAGAGAGCTCTTGCTGCCTATGGAGTGCCCAGGCTGACTCAGCAACTGCACCACAAAGCCGAAGCTTCCAGACTTTCTTCCTTGGGGATAAGGGGTTTTTTTTTATGTTTTCAACCTTACCTCCCCGCTTCCAGCCCTACTCCCAAAACTGCATACGGACAAAGATTCCTCCAACAGCAAAGGTGCCAGCACAGAAATTTCTTCCTGCCAATGGAGTCTCCAGTCTGAAAAACCAAGTGCAACACAAAGCAAAAGCTTCCAGCCTTTCTTTCCTGGGGATAAAGGTTATTGTTTCTTGTTTTCCACCCTGCCTCGAAACTTCCAACCCGACTCTCAAAATTGCATACGGACGAAGATTCCGCCCAGACTAAAGTAGCCATCACAGAAAACTCTTGCTGTTCATGGAGTGACCAGGTTGGCTCATCAACTGCACCACAAAACAAAAGGTTCCAGGCTTTCTTTCCTTGAGATAAGGGTTGTTGTTTCCTATTTTGAGCCCTGCCTCCCAAGTGCCAGTCCAACTCCCAGAATTGCATACAGACGAAGATTCCTCCCAGAACAAAGGTAGCAGAACTGAAAGCTCTTGCTACTCATGGAGTGCCCAACCTGGTCCTCAAATTGCACCACAAAGCCAAAGTTTCCAGTCTTTCTTTCTGCCTGGGACAAATGCCTCTCTCCCAGTTCCCCAGGAAGGGGAGATAAGCCCTCCTGGGCAGCAGCCCAGGGTCTCTGTCTGTGCTTTGCTCTGCTGGGAAAATGCGCAGTGTGAGAGAGGAAGGTGGCTCCAGCACGGCTACTGTATATCCCAACCCTAGTGCTTGCAAGGACAGCATATTCTCTAGGGAAAATGCTGAGGGATGAGCAGGGAACAGGATGAAGACTCAGTAGGTGATCCTCACGCACACGTAGGGAGCACACGGGGCACCCACTAGAGTGCTGCCTGCGAGAGGTGGGGCTGGGAGAGGCCTAGCCCACCCATCTGAAAGGGCAACTGAAGGACTGGGGGCTTGGCAGATGGAAACCCTTACTCCCAGTCCCTTCTCTAGATCAACTCCAGAGCGATCCCAGGCACCCATCACACCACAGGAAACATATTGTTCTGTTTGGTTACGTCTAAAATGGCGTTTCCTCCACAAAACATTTATGATGATGTGAAAAATGAAGGAATGATGATAATGGTAAAAGTAAAAGCATTCCAGTGGAAGTGTTGCACCTCCTCCAGGTGTAACAGGAGATTTGGAGGAACGTGGAGGGTCCTGAGGCTTTCACAATCTTCCCAGGTGGAAGAGCAGCATCAAACTCACCCTCTCTATACCTGTGGGCTCCTGACATGGTTCTGCCTTCTTAGGTATCAGAGCAGAGATAACACATTTACAGGAAGGTGAGCACTCTGCATTTGTACTGAGAGGAAAATGAGGTATCGTCCTGCCACCACCTTCCTGAGCCTAGGGCCACAAGGTTGGAAGTCTCTCCTTTCTTACTGCTTTTGTCTGCTCTCTCACTACCTCTAACACTTGGTCTGGTCTAACCGCACCTCGCTCAATCGCACTGTTTGCCTTCACAGTTTCTTCAGCACACCTCCGAGATGTAGTGTTCAGATCCTTGAGGAGTGACACTCCAAGTCTTGCAGACCCGTACTGTGTCTTTTCCACGCTCAAGGCAAGGCCAGAATCCTCTTCCAATCCAAAGAGAAAGATCCTCATGAACCAGAGAATCCCGGTGCCTGCCTGGAGGGGATGCAGGAGACAATGGCTCAGGAGAAGTTAGGGACACACATTGCAGCTGACTGCAGTATGCCCAGACTTGCACTGCGCTGTGCTGTTTATGTCACTTGGCACCCAGACATTCTGTCGCACGCCTGTGCTCTGTGTAGGATTGAAACGGTCTCTTTTCATAGGGACGCTATTTTACTCCGCTGTAGAAACAATTAACCAGGTTCTGTATTTCACGTCACTGGGACGTGCAGGACCTCATGGAATTAAACAAACCCTGGGATATCTTTGGAACTTCATGGAATCAAAGGGGTAAAACAAAAGAATTAAACCCAATGACCAGAAACCATTGGATCAAACATTTCTTTAAGATGCCAGTTGGGGATTTATGGGGGTACTTTGCCATGCATTAATCAAAGAATCAGTATAAATTTCGGAATATAAATACAGTGATATTTGAAAGACACCCCCTTCACAAGCAGTCCATAATTATGTAATGATTTTGCGGTCAAATAGCATCTTGGATTTTATTCATGGAGCAAGACTGCCATCTAGCGTCCATTTCTTCTGGGAGGGGCAGTCATTTTCGCAGCGTGGTCTTCTCGCTTAGCAGGTCTCGTAGCATCTCTGATTGATTGATCCAACTTCTAACCCATAAACTGAATGTTCTAGGACCAGTTAAGACGTGTCTTAGAACTTCCCCTTTGCTTAAACAATATTTAATTGACTTTCTTCTTAACAGAACAATCTCTTATTAAACAAATTTTCTGAGGCATGTAAGCTAATTTCTTGAAGATGGGCATACGATACACACTTGATTAGTTTCCATGTATCATCTACATTCTCTCTCCTAAAACTAATTGTAGTCTTAAAAGAAAAGACCACTACCATGCCAAGAAAACAAATCCCTTTGTTGATTAGGATACCATTTTTATTTCAACTAAATCTTCTGAAAGGAGATCCTCTCTCATTTCAGTGCCATTGTGACAATATGGGCCTCATGTTACCAATGGAACACTGGAACACTGCAGATTCCCATGGAATCAAGGGGCTATTGTGACGCTCTGGGGCCTCATGGAAGAGGGAGGCCCTGCAGAGAGACCTCAAATCAGAGGTTTCGGCAATCATCAACCAGAGGAAGTTCAACAAGGGGAAGTGCCAGATTCTGTCCCTGGGATGGGGCAACCCTGGATGTACCGACAGACTGGGAACGACGTGCTGCACAACAGTGCTGGAAAATGGCCTCTGGGGTCTTGGTGGATGACCAGTGGTGCCCTGGCGGGGGCTCACTGCTCAGTCAGGCAAGGGTTTTCAGGCACACGAGTCCTTCCCTTGCACACACACAGACAGTTCATGGCAGCAGGGGCAGTATCTCCTGGAGCTCCTGCTACCACGCCCGGAGCCTGGATGCACCTCAGCCCTTGTGGGGTGCCACCTGCTCTGCCACTATCTGAGATGCCCCACGACCTGAGGGATGGACACGGGGAGTTCTGTCCACAGAAGCACATCCCAGAGTTGCATCCAGGGGCTTTGCCAGGGTTTAGTACCAGAAATGCAAAGTGACACAGAGACACTTTTTATCCCACATAACTTCAAGGCCCCCCCAGGAGGTTGATGGCAATTGTACTTGCTCAGGGTCATGTCCCCACACCAACACCAGATATGTGCTCAAGACTTGTCTGTTCAATGCAAAGAGAGACACTCTGTCTAGTCCTTCCGCATCTCTCCAGGGAAGGTTAAAGAACCTCTGTGGACTGGTGAAAAGCCAGTGCTGGAAGCAGTGGTTCTATTGTGAGTGCCAACCAAGAGTGGTTGGCAGGTCTGGGATGCATGCCCTGGGGAGTTGACCTGGGGTTTTCCAGTGCACATGGGAATAGATCACACTCTTCCCTGGTGGTCCTTCATATCCTCTTCCTACGGAGGTGACAGAGATGGGAAAGAGAATAAAATTTTTGGCTGTGCCTCTGAGTGCCCCTCAACCTGCTGCAGATGTGCTGGTTCCAGCACATCCAGTTCAGGTGTGACAGGTTGTTCCCTGGTCCTCTGAAAAAGAGGAACAGGAGGAGGGACACAGTAGAGCTCTCCTCAAGGAGACTGCATCTCCATGAAGTTCAAAGCAGGAGGGAGATGTCATGCCATGTCCGAGCTTTCTCTGGGTAAGGTGCTTCTCCCATGCACTGCCTCACTGTAGCACTGGTGCCACAACCCCTGACTAAACCCCAAGTGGTCTTTGTCCCCAGCAGAAGTGCTCCTGCTGCCAGAAAGGACAGGCCAGGAGAGGCTGAGCTCGGGCTGCTGAGCCCGGAGGGATGGTCTGCCTCTCGTGCCCCTCGACCATTCTCACAAGTGCATGCCCTGGAGGACAATTCAGGAGTCTCCACGTGCCAGCAAAGGATGGATGAGAGGGATGAGATGATGGTGATGAAAAAAGCTCATGGTCTGTCAATCTTGAGCTCCCCGATACCAACCCGCACCCCTGCCACCGAGCCCGGCCCCTCCGCCTCCGCGGTGCAGAGCCCCGACTGCCGCCGTGCTGCCGCTGCTCTCGCCTGCCCTCTGCATCCAGCCCGCACCCAACAAGAGCCCAAGAGACACGGAGGCCGGGTTCAGTCCCGGGGCGGAGTTGGCTGAAGAGGACAACGGAGTTAGAAGAAGGCAGAGGAGGGAGAGGAGGGAGAGGTCGGGTGGTAGATTGGCAGATGCGGCCCTGGCGGGGAATGGGGCTGGCGGTGCCGGCCGCGGTTCTGCTCGGTGTGCAGGGCTGGTGGTCGGGGACCGTGGAGGCTGGAGCAGGGGCTGGGATGGCTGTGCAGGTCCCTCGAGGCTGCCGTCCTGCCTGGTCGGTTCTTCACAGAACTCTGTCTCCGAACTATCCTCCCGTCCATCCTTCCCTCTCCTCCATAAAGCATTCCCTCGGAAAACTCATCACTCTCTTCTTTGTCTAGCCTTTCCTGTTTCCTTGCTTTACTCTCTGTCCTTCAGAGTCCTGCAGTCCGTCATTCCCCTTTCCTGCTTTTCTTTCTCTCTTGCTTTGCTTATATCCGCAACTTTCCATTCTTCAGAGACTGCACCAATCCACCTCTCTTCCTGCACTCATCTCTCCAGCTAATACTAACTAAGTGGAAGTGACACTTCCACTTCTGCACACCTCGACATCCTCTTAAAATTCTTCTCCGTATGGTCCTGACTGCTTCTGTGCCCTTTGTTCTGGGAAACAACATCCAGTGCAAAAAGCAATTCTGACGGTTTTTCTTCTTTATCTCCCCGTTAGTGTCTGCAGGCAGAGCCCAGGTGCAACAGGACCTATTTTCAGAGACCACAGAGGGCAGTGAAATCACCATCAAGTTCTCAACCGCCAACATACGAATTGGTGATTTTATCCATTTCTACCGACAGCTCCCTGGCCACAGACCCGAGTTCCTGGCACACGCTCCTAAAGGGTCCAGAGAGCTGTGGGTGCCAGCGGGGCGGCTGTCGGTGTCCGGAGATCGTCGTTGGACCGTCCTCTGGCTCTCCGCATCCCGTGTTAGGGACGCGGCGCTGTATTGCTGCGCCCTGCCGGACACGGATTCATTGACACCATCGTCTTTGGAACTTTCAGGGGATTTTCTTAGAAATAGAGAACCCGGTTAATTGTTTCTACAGTGGAGTAAAATAGCGCCCCTATGAAGACAGGGCGTTTCAGTCCTACACAGAGCAAAGTCTTGTGACAGAACGTCTGGGAGTCAAGTGACATAGCACAGTGTAGCGCAAGTCTGGACATACTGCAGTCAGCTGCAATGTGTGTCCCTAACTTCTCCTGAGCCATCGTCTCCTGGATCCCCTCCAGGCAGGCACCGCGATTTCTCTTTGGATAGGAGGAGGATTCTGGGCTTGCCTTGAGCGTGGAAAAGACACAGAAATGGTCTGCAAAACTTGGAGTGTCACTCCTCAAGGATCTGAACACTACATCTCGGAGGTGTGCTGAAGAAGTTGTGAAGGCAGACAGTGCGATGGAACGAGGTGCAGCCAAGCCAGACCAAGTGTTAGAGGTAGTGAGAGAGCAGAAAAAACAGTAAGAAAGGAGAGAATTCCAGCCATGTGGCCCTGGGCTCAGAAAGACTCGTTGCGGGACCATCCATGGAATGTTACTTTTCTGACCATCCTTCATTCCTTCGTCAATGTGCACTTCTAGGATATTCTTCTCTGTAACAATTTTCCTGCCATTGCAGCTCTTACACAGGTCCGTGGGGCTGATACGCTCTCTGTGCCCCTCAGTACAAATGCAGACCCTTCACCTTCCTTTAAATGTGTTATCTCTGCTCTGATACCTAAGAGGGCAGAACTACATCAGGAGCCCACAGGTTCCTCGACAGTGCCGCATCCGCGGATCCACCGCCCGGTCTATCCCTGTCCCTGCCAACCCCGGCTCTCTGCTCCGGGCGAGTGGCCACCTCTCCACCTCCTCTCCCTCCTCTGCCTCAAGTATGTGCCCTGGAGGACAATTCAGGGGTCTCCATGTGCCAGCAAAGGAGGGAGAAGAGGGACGAGGTCATGGCGATGAAAAAAGTTCATGGTCTGTCAATCCTGAGCTCGCTGATAACAACCAGCACGCCTACCACTCAGCCCGGCCCTGCCACCTCCGTGGTGCAGAGCCCCAACTGCTGCCGCGCTGCAGTCAGCAAGAGTTTTCTGTTCTGGTACCTTTGTTCTGGGAGGAATCTTAGTCCATTTGCAATTTTGGGAGTCGGGTTTCAGTTGGGAGGTAGATCTGAAAAAATCAAAAAATAGCCATTTCCCCAGAAAAGAAAGACTGGAACCTTTGGTTTTCTGGTATACTTGGGCACTCTGGTATACATAGAGTGCCCAGGGTTAGCCTGGGCACTCTATGGGCAGCAAGAGCTTTCTGTGCTGGCACCTTTGTTCTGGGAGGAATCTTCGTCCATATGCAATTTTGGGAGTCGGTCAGGTAGGGTTGATAACAAGAAACAACAGTCCTTATCACCAGGAAAGAAAGCCTGGAAGATTTGGTTTTGTGTTGCATTTGGTTTGTCAGTCTGGAGACTGAATTGGAAGGAAGAGATTTACGTACTGGAACCTTTG